AAAAAAAAAAAAAGAAAAAGAAAAAGAAAAAGATCCAACTTTGCGAGCACACACACACACACACACGCACAAGCACACACACAAGTCTCCATAGCTTTAAGCTTTCTCCAAAATCCAACTTTTTCACTTCACGAGTTACAGCCCTCCAAAAATGGCACACATCTCCCTTCTTCTCACTCTCTTCTTCTTCTCCACACTCCCACCACTCTCTCTCTCCAAACCCGACACGACAGCCACTACTCTCTCTCTCCTCATGACCATCAAATCCTCCTTAGACCCTCTAAACCAGGTTCTTACATCATGGCACCCCCGAGCTCCTCCATGCAGCAGCACCGCCGGCGGCTTTGAAGGGGTAGCCTGCGACGTCGGTGGCCACGTGGTCAACATCTCGCTTCAGGGAAAGGGGCTTTCCGGCGAGATACCGCCGGAGATCGGCCGCCTCAGTGGCTTGACCGGCCTGTACCTGCATTTCAACAAGCTTCAGGGGGTTGTACCCAAGGAGATTGCGAATCTCACCGACCTCACCGATTTGTACCTCGACGTTAACGATCTTTCTGGTCAAATTCCCCCTGAGATTGGTCAAATGCCCAATCTTCAAGGTCAGTTTTTTTTCTTCTTTTTTTTTTTCAACTTTTGTTTTTCCCGTTTTTATTTGTTTATTTGTTTTTTTGTTATGGGTTCTTTATGCAGTGCTGCAACTCGGTTACAACAGATTGAATGGAAGCATTCCCACAAATCTTGGCCATCTCAAGAAGCTCACTGTTCTTTCATTACAGTCGAACCAGTTGACCGGCGCAATCCCGGCGAGCCTTGGTGATTTGGACAGCTTAACAAGGTTGGATTTGAGCTTCAACACCCTTTTTGGCTCAATCCCATCAAAATTGGCTGATCTACCTCTGCTCAAGGTTCTCGACGTCCGTAACAACACACTCTCCGGCGACGTTCCTCTTGGTAATTACCTTTCCCCTGTTTTGGTATTATGGAGATTTGGTGGTGAAAATAAAAAAAAAAATAGAAAGAAATAAAGGATTCATGGCATATTTGGAACAATATGTCAATGTAAAGAGATCAGTTTGTTAGTATTTGTTTTGGTTACTTTTACTGTTTCAAATTGACTAGCCTATGGTGATGAATCTAATTCTTCTTTGTAACTTATTTTATGGCTGCTGAAATGAAGTTCTGCAGAGACTGAATGAAGGTTTCCAGTTCGCTAATAACACGGGATTATGCGGAAACGCATTTCCTTCTCTGCAAAACTGCACTCTCTCTAATCAGGACATGACCAAACCTGAATCTTCCGGGCCTTACCTGGGCCGTCTGCCCTCTAAACAAATTCCCGAGTCGGCGAACATATCAAACGCTCTCAACGGGGCCAAGAAACCCAAATTGGGACCCACATCAGTACACTTAATATCTGTGCTGATTATAGTTCTCATCCTCGCCGGGCTTTTCGCGTTTTTATACTACCGTCGTTCGAAGCAAAAGGTTGGGTGTGCATCCGAAACCGGTGTCAATCGGCCGAGCGTAGATAAAAACGTGCTGCAGACAAAGGCCAGCCGAAGCTCGTCCCCTCTGGTGGGCCTCGGGTGCTCGAGTGGGTGGGACTTGGTGGCCAAGCGGGAGGACCCGAGCACCTTCTCGCAGGAGGTTCTCGAGAGCTACATGTACAACCTGGATGAGGTCGAGAGGGCGACCAGCCACTTCTCGGATGTGAACTTGTTGGGAAAGAGCGGATTTTCGGCTATGTATAAAGGGATTCTGCGAGACGGCACTTTGGTTGCTGTCAAGTGCATCTCCAAGGTCAGTTGCAATAGTGACGAGGATAAGTTTTTCAAAGGTCTGAAGCTCTTGACGTCCTTAAGACACGAGAATCTCGTGAGGCTGAGAGGGTTTTGCTGCTCGAGAGGCAGGGGTGAGTGTTTTCTCATTTACGAGTTTGTCCCCAATGGAAACTTGTTGCAGTATCTTGACTTGAAGGATGGTAGGAGAAGGGTTGTTCTTGACTGGCCGACCAGGAAGTCTATAATCAGAGGAATAGCACGAGGTACTATCTCTCTCTCTCTCTCTCTCTCTCTCTCTCTCTCTCTCTGTGATAAAAGACAATGGCATTTAACATTTACAGTTGATTGTTCTTATAACCAGGTATTGAGTACTTGCATGGGAACAAGCACGGGAAGCCCACATTGGTCCACAGGAACATATCGGCTGAGAAGATACTAATCGATCAACAATACAACCCTCACCTCTCGGATTCGGGCATTCACAAGCTGCTGGCAGACGACATAATCTACTCGGCCCTCAAGACCAGTGCTGCCATGGGTTACCTGGCTCCAGAGTACACAAGCACTGGCAAATTCACGGAAAAAAGTGACATATACGCATTCGGGATGATCATATTCCAAATCCTGTCGGGCAAAAGTCGAGTCACGCAGCTAAACTGCCATGGTGCAGAGATTTCAAGATTCCAAGACTTTATCGATTCAAATCTTGACGGGAAGTTCGAGGAGTCTGAGGCGGCTAGGCTGGGCGAGGTTGCTCTTTCGTGCACGCACGAAAATCCCGATCAGAGGCCTGATATCAGGACCTTAATGGGGGAACTGGATGATATCTGTTCAGATTCTTCATGAAGATGTTTGTAATTTCTGCTAGGATAGATGGGCCTGTTGCTAGTTTCTTCTTATTCATGACGGTTATTTGTAGTAACTTGTAGGAAGGCAGGTGACTCAGATTTATGAGGCGGGATATGATGTATTCATACGAGTCCTCGACTCGCCTAACAGAGGTAATTGTAACTGTAGTATGTACTAATTCTGTTGTGTATGATTATCTGTCTTCTTGAATTTGATTTGTAGTTTTGAGTTATTGTCTGCAACAGAATCAGGGCAACCATTTTAATCAATATGCCTGGAGGAGATCTAAAAAGTAAAACATAAAAGAAATGGAGATAAGAATCCAAAACATTGTACTACTTCAGAGGCTCTGCACCATTTTGTCGTGGTTACCAGTGAATGTGATTTGTCCTTAAGTTACCTAACATGTTTATTGTTTCATGATAATTCTTTACCAGTTATTGTTTCCTCCTTT